TCCTTTTCCTATTATCTTTCACTTCCACTATCTCCTTCTCCTTGCCCTTTGCCAACTTTGCTTGTTCTTCCTCGCTGCGCTCCGCCACGCTTACAATATTCACAACGCCTCTAAAGCCACTTCGTTTGATCCCCTCGTTCACCACGACGCCTCGTGGATTTGTTCCAAGTGCTTCCATACCTCGATCCGTTGGTAGACCCCACACGGCCAGCAGATTCACAACGTCAGCGGGCCCACGCAGGGCCATGGCATTGTTCGCCTCGCTGCTTAGTATAAGGCCGCGGCCGCGGGTCGCGCGCACGAGCTGTACCACATTGCCAGCAAAGTTAGCGCGGGCACGAGCGTCGGCATCGGGTCTCAGCACCCGACCGTAAGCAACCTCGAAGCGTAGGCCCCGCGCGATGGCGGCCATACACGGTTTAGGACGTAAATGGAAGGGCAGGCGTGCAGTAAGGTCTAGGGATATGATAGAGACCTCAGTAATGCTAACAGTCACGCAAGCGGCCTGGAAGGCCTTCTCGGTTTGCGGGCGTAGAGCCAGTATATCGTAGGCCTGCGCGGCTTTAGGAAGCTGTTGGTTCTGCGAGGGGTCCGAGAAATTTACGGTAAGACGGCGAAGGACGGTGGGGATGCGCTGCTGGCGATCTTCGGGTTTGGAAGGAGGAAATTGGGGGATCGGATTCGGAATTTGCGAGGGTAGAGGGGCGTCGAGGTTGTGGTTCAGCGCAACAACATTGTAACCAAGTTGCGAGCTGAATCTTAGTGTGCGCTCGAGCTCGGCGGCGCTGGTCGAAGGAGACCAGGCGATATTGAGGTCGTACAGCATGCTGTTATAGGGCTTATTAACATTTCAAGTTCTGAAGAATTCCGATTCTTATCAACTAGGGAACATGGTCTCGGATTCGGGGACTCGAGTTGGTTGAGTGAAAGATTGAAATATTATGTCATTGGTGAGTTTGAAATAAGTTTTGAGCAATGGTTATTAGGTTCTTGTCAAGATATCCGATAGGGAAGTAGCTAGGTACCACATAGTGGGGCTATAGGGGCTATAGGGGCTATAGGTACCTACAGGTGCTATTATGCAGCTAAGCTTCAGCAGAGTTCAGCTCTGCCGGCGATTCGCAGCAATCATTTAAATTACCTCTTATTTGTCTTAGGTTATTCTTGGCCCTTGGGTCTTGGGCCTTGAGCCCTTGGCTTCGAAAAAGCACAGCCCCCCGAAGGTGACGCGCATCTCGCACGAGGATGCGAATACTTCTTTTGCCGGCATGGCACTGACAAAGAATAAATTGATTTCCATATCGTTGCCTACGAATCGTTAACCCTTGTGGAATAACAAAATAATAACTAATAAAAATATATTCTCGATCCTTCAGCCAGCATCATCTTCAACTTCTCTCCTTGGCGAACTATTCTCATAAACCCGCGAACCTATCCAACCATCCGACCATCCGATCGCTTCGATTAGCGCAATTGTTCAGTTGCGATACCGTCCTAGCCGTCTCAGCCGTCTCAGCCGTTAGTCAAGATGTGTCTGATATTCACTTGCGGCGAACATACCTTCAGGAAAGAGGTGGAAGGTTACGAGGGTGTCATCTGCCAATGTCATAACTGCGGCAACTATGCTGGACATATCATCAAGAGCAATCCTTGGTTTACCTTTTGCTTCGTAGTAAGTATACATTGCGCCGTCTTGAGCTTGGAAGAATATGCTAATTGGAAATGTAGCCCGTCATCCCGCTCTCCATCCACGGCTACCAGGATGTCGTCTGTCATATCTGCAACTTCGCGCAACCCTTAGAGCACCGACCCGACGCTCAGGCGATGCATCGTGGCGGCGGCGGAGGAGGAGGAGGAGGAGGAGGGGGCGATAATATGCCGATGCAGCCGCCACCACAGGGTCCTCCGCAACAAGGTCCTCCGCCTGGATGGGGACAAGGACCGCCTCAAGGTCAGGCGCCTATGAGGTACGGATAGAGGCGCAAGAGACTAGTCGAGGATTTTACGATTTAAGCTAGCGGGAGTTCGGTGCCACGACAACCAAGTACACGATGCGAGACAGCGTTAGTGGTTGCATACTATTGCACGACATTAGGATTGGGGTTCGAGGATTCACGTATCATTAAGATATCCCACTTCGGGCGTTTTAACATTGTGGTTGGAACGACGATTGCTTGCGATTCATATTCAGGGACTTATTCTTTGGGCTTCGTACGGCCGCCTACGCGTGGCGGTTTATTCTTGAAAATACCGAATATAGCAAGGACGTGTACTACCTATGCTTGACACTATATTCACAGGTATGGTAGTAGCCCGAGAACTACACGCCACGGGCCTTCGACGATGTGTATTATGGAAGTATTTCTGTGGTCATTACTAGTATATAGTGTATCAAAATTGGAATTGAAGGGGTGATGTTGAAGTTTCTGAAGCGGAGGATACCAAGTATAATACCAAGTTCATCGAGACAATATTGAAACATATATGATGATAATGCGTGCTCGAATCGCTGATGCGACGGAATTCTCTGGCCACATCAACGGGGCTTCTCGTTCGCGGAGCACCCAAGTGCCATAAGCGCATATACAGTCCAACCTGAAAGTATATCCGTCGTCGCCAACCCCTAACCCAACTTAGTTCAACACAGGCCGCCATCCCTTCCGCGCGACATGTCCAACAACCTCTTCATCCTTCAACACGTCAGTACCCGTCCGGCCTGTAACGACGCTTCTCTCGATCTCGGCACCACGAACGTAAAATGGAAACGTAAGACGATTCTCGTTATCATCAGAATCTCCCCCCCTTTCGACGTCTCTAGCCTCCCATACCACACGCCCTGCTTTCCGGCGCCTCGAGAACCCGCACGCTTCCCTGTCAAGGGATAAATACCATCGTCGCTGATGTACGCTCCCAATCGAGTTCTCTGCGCCCGGATATGCGTTTGTACGGCGCACCTGTTCGTCCTCGAGCTCGCGGATCTCCCGCTCCATTGTCGAGACGTCTTCCAGACCTACCTCCTCCGCGGGCGCGGTTACGATTCCTGATTCTTCGCTTCCCGTAGCTTCTTCGTCCGGGTCCGAGTCCGAGTTTGTATCTATCTCAGCGGCCTTGCGCTTCCCCTTACCCCTGGCCGAGCCCCTACCTTGCACCGGAGCTCCTCGCCTCCGCCTGCGTGTAGGCGTGCGTGTGCTCTTAGCGCGACCGGCTACGTCTTCTTCTTTAGTAAGTCGCAGATTTAGCACATAATCGTGCGGTAGGCGTGTACCGTTAAGTCGGATGCGAATCTTCCGTGCCTGGAATGCCTGATGGAGTTTCTCCTGCTCCGTGAGTTTAGAATCCTCTTCCTCGTCGTCGGATTGCGAGTTTAGATTAGCCCGCTTTGTACTCTCTCGCGGCGGGAGGATATTGTACGTCCCGGTATCCCAAATGAGAAGAGAGCCAGTCGATATTGAAGCTGTTTCTATAAGATGATTCTACGAAGCGCAGTAGGTTAGTGATAGATTTGGGATACCGACTCGAGATAGATTCAGGGGAACTTGCCCATAAGCAGTGGATTCTTGTCTCTGTAGCGTTTCTATTCAGACGTTGACTGTTCGGATCCCCTGGAAGGCCATACATGATAGCCCAAGAGGCGCTGCTCGTCTCGTTGATCTGTAGTCGAAGGTCATAATGAGTACCTGCAATGGGATGATCATGCTGATGCACGATAAAATGCGCGCCTTGTGGGTTGCCTGAGTTCCTCTCGTAAAGCTCCTGGTAGGCATTGATAGACAACCTCGGTGAATCTGGCGGAAACGGCGAGAGTATGGCTCCCTTTAGAAGCCCACTGAAGTAACCAAGGTAGTCCTCGACCTTGGCTTTGCCTGCTTCCACAGCCGAAGCCCTTGAGCTTTCTTTATCCACTCTTAATCCATGTTCCTCGGCCACATCGTAGCCATCGTCTTCACTGCTATCGTGCGCTGGATGTGATAGATCGAAAGTCCATTCTAAGTTTTCCTTTTTAATGTACGGGTTGCTGACGAGTTCTGGACTACAACCTCGCTTCGCTGCCATGTTTTATTTTATTTTTTTTTTTTTTAAAAAAAAAACCGACAAAAGGTCGAGCAGTTTTGAGGCTGTTTAAAACCCTAAGCTGGTTGCCGATTAAATGAGTGATTATGGGCTAATGACGTTATCTGTTCCTATAATACGTCGTTCTCAAAGCACTGTCACTCAAAACGTTTCCTTACTCGTGACAGCGCGTTGAGAAGTAACTATAGTAGAAGCATCACAAGAAGTGACAGACAAATTAATTAACGGGTCACAGGATCGGTGGCTTTCCGTTTTTATCCTGTTTTCTTAAACCCCTATGAGGGTCATAACTTTGGAATGATATGGTGACTATTGATATTGGGCTACTCGAGGAGTTTGGGTTGTCTTTGCGCCCTTTTTACGTATATAGGTAGGTAAACTTACATCCGGGTATGTGTAGGGCTGAGTTTTGAAGGAAAGGAGAAAAGGAATAAGATTATCAGTAGAAATTGACCAAAACTAAACTCAGCCGTCCCCCGTTATCCGCTGTTCGAACAGGTGACTTCCGGGGAAAACACCCGGGACCCCCGAGGCCGCCGTGGCCGATTCGGACTACTTGCCGCAATGCAATTTACCATAAGTTCTCAATTGCAAAAACCAATGCTTACCAAAGTACATGTATCTAGCTATATTAGGTACCTATGTATACATTCATAACTGATTGGTATTGAATTAAAATAGTATTACTAGTAACCCCGATAATGTAGGAGTGGACGAATGGATGGCACTAACCGTAGACTGTAGCGGAAGATTAGGAAGATACAAGCCCTTATTTTAGACTGGAGATAACGTCTCGGGATCACCCCTTTCTAAATACCAATACGATCAATTTAGCTTTCCCTAAAAAGATTTGTACGTATGTAGAAATCTGGTACAGCAGAAAAAAGAAAAACGACAACGCAAGTTCGATGACATCATCAAAAATATAATGACAGCGGTGGGACTCGAACCCACGCGGATTGCTCCACTGCGAAGTTTATATCCAGGTAAACCTGAACGCAGCGCCATAACCACTCGGCCACACTGCCTTTGGATGGTGTTCTCGTAAGATTGGGAAGTAATTTTTCTGCTCTTGTAGCATACTATATTCTAGCCGCCGTTTCCCGCCGAAACGGGTAAGTGGGGTAGCGTTAATCTAGGCTCTTGCACATTCCCATTGGTCAGGTTTCACGCACTAGTCTCTCGAGCTAGATGAAATGAATTTTCTCGACTTTTTCTTGGAGAAATCGTTCACATCATTGACAAGACACTAACCTTAATAACAATCTACGGGTGAGGTTGATGAGTCTTGACTATGCGGCTTATAAATGGGATATATCGTGATGAAATATCCTAGAACTAAGTCTATACATTATACTATATACCTAGGTACCTAGGTATCTATACGATGTCTTGACATTCGGATTTCCTTGTTCTCCACCAGAATCAGAGTCCTAGGGCATCGTGACCTCAGGCGCGGGGACCGTCGTTAGCGTCACATCGTCGTAGTACAACTTATTCATCGGGCCACCCGAGTTGCACTGCGAACTAAAAAGAATCGTTGCCGTGTCTCTATCTGCGGTCCACAGGTCGGTGTAGGTGGTATATACGCCCCGGTACTGGTTCAGGTCAGGCCGTCGCGTTCGCACATTGTTGATTAATATGTCCATGACGCACCCCACGGTGGGGTCCATCTTGAGTGTGTCTGAAAGCCGGTCAGATATCATACTCAGAAGATATATATCGCGAGTTGCTTTGCTTACATTGGAAGGTGTATGCTTGACCTGCTACGACAGAAACGGTCTGCTGTAGGCGGATCTGCCAGAGACCAGGCAGTCCCTGCGCGATGAATGATCGCGAGCCCGAGTACGGGTCCGTGTCTAGCGAGCCGCTAGCGGCTAGGTCAAGGTGATATCCCGTATAAGTCCACACGATAGGATCAACTGTCTCGAAGCCAGAGTTGGCAATGACCTAATGCAGAAATTAGTGGTAATTCTCTATTTAAACGTCTTATAGCTCACATCGGTATTGGTAGGGGTAGGCTCTGCGGATGATGTCGTCGAAGATGTAGATGAAGGTATTTCTGACGAAGAAGTAACCGATGGAATAATGCTTGACGAAGTTATACTCGACGAAGTTTCGATGCTGCTGATCGAAGAGATGGTCGAAGGAATTGCTGAGGAAGTCGTCTCAGTGGCTGATACACCCTCGGATGATGAGGTTTCCAAAGAACTCGTCGAAGAGGCTGTCTCAGTTGCTATTATGCTCTCAGATGATGAGGTTTCCACGAAACTCGACGAAGAGCTTGCCGAGGTAATTGCAGACGAGGATTCAATAGAGGATACAGTGCTTGATGTGATTGGATCATCACTGGTCGTCGAAGGTACAGCTACCGAACTCGTAGTAGAAACAAAGTATGACGATGTAGAGTTAGAGATTGCATACGTGCTCAGAGGCACTGTGCTATATGAGGGGGTCGTTGGAACCGGCTCGCTGCTTGACGTTCTCGGCTTACACCTGCTTGCACTCGCGACCTCGTAAAAGGCCGAAAAGGTTGCGGCAGAGATTACGTGTTTAAACAACATGATTAAATGGACGCCTTACGCCACGAAGAAGTGATGGATTGGGACGAATGACGGAAGCTTGTCTCTCACTTCTAAACGGTGACCCGAAGTACCAACCAACTCAACAAACATCGCGACTCTACGCAAAGGATATATAAACCACACACGATGTCGTTTCTAGTCTCGAACTCGATAGCCGAAATGAGGTGGCGCAATTGGCGCTGGCGGCCTAGAAGCTCTACTGCTGATCTTTGAAGCTCAGCTGAAGAACTATAGGCGACTACATCGCTAGCGGCTCCGGCTAGGCTCCTCTTCCCATACCCGACTAATTTAGGGGACCGCCAACTTTGGGCAACAAAGCGCTATTTCTAGAGGCTAACTATAGATAAAGGAGAGAGAATGATAAGTGTGTTGATTCCTGAAGAAATTCTAAATGGGGGAGGCTCCCCAGAAAGACTTTTATACATCCACACAGTGCTTCGCACTTTCCATCTTCTCGTACCTACACCGACTATATACTTTTGCTATAATAATTGAATCGTTTCGTACCCCTGGCTAATAATATTGACTACTTCTCGGGTAGTATCTATTGAATCGAGGCGGGCGTTTCCATTAGGGACTAGGTTAGACTCTTTGCTGCGGTTATGGGTCGTATTTAACCATAAGCTCCTTTCTGAAGTAGTAGGCTTATGTTTTATCAGATTCGGAATTAAAGTAGGGCAATGTACGTAGTACCAAGTATACAGCGGACAAACATCTATATACATAACCACTCTAGTATTCCCAACAGTAGGTAATAAGACGGGTTATTTACAGTCAACACCATATATTCTCCCCAGGCTCGGGTTTCTCTAATGGTGATCACATCCCTTTCTTTTATTCTCGAGCAAGAGTAAGGGAACAAAGAGATTATGGGCTTGGCAGGTAGAGATATTTACATTTTGCGAGATAGAAACTAGCTTAGGCTTGCTGGTTCCTTTGAAGTGTATCAAATCTAATACTCCTATCCAATTCTTAGGGAGGATTCGCGTTCGTCTCTTCCAAGGTTTAACCGAACCCTCATAGAGTTCAAATGTATAGTATATTTTGGTATAAACAAAGCTACCGACTTTCCCCTCTGTCAACCTAATATGCTTAGAAGCGAAATTGCCCACAGAGCAATATTCATGAGACAATTGTCCAGGGGGGTACCTCAAAGACCTAGTGTAAGTGTATACAAGAATGTAATAGAAGCCAATAACAAAATCTGTTCTGTTTTGTCCCACCGATATCCCCATAGTTTATAACCCTGATTTTTACTCGGCTGTATATCAGCCGTCTTTTATCCCCTTGCCTAAACGCCACGCCAAAGTCCAAAGCTTATGCGATGGCTTTTGTTGTTCTCCTAGTAGAATGTAGCGCTGAATCGCTGGTTGGAAGAGCAGATGACGGGGTTTCCATGGTAGTCGTCGATGTAGGCTTTGTCGTAGCCGAGCTTGCTAGCGAGGTAGTCCACCACTGGGGTGATGACAGAAGAGACCGAGTCCTCGGTAGCCTCGATGACCTTAGACCCGTCGTCTTCGGTCTGGAAGACGTCGTCAGGGGCATCTGCTAATATGCTTTGGTCGTCGAAGCCCGTGCTCGCGCCACTACCATCTTCGACGGCAAGGGTTACAGCACCATCGCAACCTCTTATTAGCGATATATCACCATAGCCCTTACCCGTACCGTCCAGTCCGATCTCGAGCCATGTGCCTAGCAGATGTGGCTTTCCATCCAAGTTGGCCTGGGAGCCTCGAACGATGCGACCTTGGAATAGGTCTGGTAACGCTACGAACTTGGTATCTCCAGCATCGACGGTCACATACTTAAGCGGTATGCTGTCACAGCTGTTTTCGTATACGAAGAAGCTACGGGTCCCGCCGCCACTGTTACTCAGTTTAATCCCGGGGCCGTCGTTGTCGCCGTCGTTAGTCGCGTCGGTTGCTTCTGTCGCACAAGTCCCCCGGGGAGACAAGCCACTGGGAAGATGACTACTACGTATAACGCCGGACGGCAAGGCTACCGCAGTGGAAAGAAGAAGGTTGGTGAGTGTAAAGAGCGACCTCAACATACTTCTAAGCGAATGAAATGTTTAATAATAAAAGGAGTGTTACCTATATAAAGTAAAGCTAAGAAAAGGATTGTTTCAAGTGTATAGACTTAAGTAAAAGAGTGTACTTAGTGAGAAATGGATAGGGAAAGAAAGCATGTTTACTACGGACGAGGAGGAAATACCTCCCTTTAAGTACATTCGCAACGAGACCCCGAATTCTCTTTGACTCGACGCCATCGCCCAACATAATAGGATTCTTGCCAAACCAGGGGCCTCACCACGGTACTGGGTGTGGTAGGCGCTGGAGACTAATTATGAACTCGCTATTAGAAGCGAAGCCACGTAAGCTGATTGGTGGTGAAATGGGTCCCATAAAGAGAACGAACCGCAAACGACGCGTCATGAGTCCCCATATTGGACTCCTCGATGCCGTGGAATCGTCCAGTCTTGAAAAGAATGGGAATAACACCCATCTAGTCTTTCTAGTCCCCGGTTTATTTGGCAAGCCTGTTATCTCGCTTTTACCTGGAGGAGTGTGGGATTGGAGTTCAGGGATCTAGGGTGGATGGAAGAAAGGAGCCGGTGTCTTACAGACGTAGATTGAAATGCACGAAATCGAGTCCCGCCATCGAAATGCTCCGTTATTGGTCTATCGCTCCGATTCTTCTACCAACACCACTCCAAAGAAGCGTTGTAAGCAAAGCGGCAGGAGCTGAGTAATGAGCCACCGGCTTTGTTGATAGGAACAGGAAAGGATTCGAAACAAATATGGCTTGCGTGACCAACTGCCACCATCAAAGAGTTTTCGTGCATCTTCAGGGACCTTGCATGTAGTTAAAATCCCTAGCATTATATTATTGGATCAAACATCCGATTCGTTGAATTCGATGCCACATGGTCGACTAACTCCATTGTTGTCTTGTCCTTCGAGAAGTTCACGAGTGGTCTGTGCATCACGATCAGGATGGAATCGGAAATAAATCTATGTGCTACTTGATGGCTACAAAAGTCTTGATGAAAGAAACCACTTGGAATTAAATTCCCCAGGCTATTAGTTTCGACTATTCGCATTTGTTAGTTAGTTCTGTTGAACCCGATTGTCGCTTGTTTTTTATCAAACAGACATATACTACCTACCTAGGTAGACTATCCTTCCGACAATATCTATTGTTGTTAGGTACCTACTCGAATTAGAACATTTTGGATACTGCATGATAGATCTACGCAAGGGAGAAAACAATAATTTCCATATCCATCCTACCTATTCCCATTTAAAACAAACTTAAAATACGTAGTATTTTGATCCTAAAGCCTATTATCTACCAGAGAGACGAACACGGGTATTAAGCGTTACAGGACTGTAGATAGATGCTGTTGTTATAGAGGTTGTTTATTGCTACTACGGCGGGCA